CCCGACTACATTTCAATCACTGATGAATAAGGTATTTCAATATTTCCTCCAAAAGTTTGTGTTGGTATTATATGATGATATCTTAGCATACAACCTTTCCTTGAAATATCACATTCATCACTTGGAAGAAGGTGTTAATGTTACTCTGTGAGCAGCAACTCTACGCTAACTTGAAGAATTGTTTGTTTGCCTAAATGAAGTTGTACTGCTTAGAATATGTGGTGTTAGCTGCAAGGATGTCAGCGAATCAATCGAAGGTTTTATTTATCTTGGATTGGTCACTACCTAGTACTTTGAAGGACTTGAGAGGATTTATGGTACTTACATGATACTATCAAAAATTCGTGAAGGGTTACAACTTGATGAGCCATTGAAAAAGAATAACTTTTAGTGGGGATAAGCGACAACCCAGAATTTTTAGAAGTTAAAGAAGTTTATTAAATTTAGTCATTTGTTAGTTATTATTGTTTGGTATACAAATAACTTTCTTTAATTAGGGTTAGGGTATGTGATTGTTGTCTTTAATCTCAGAAGTTATGATTTGGGAGAGAAATGGCTAACTCTTGAATTGCAAGTCTATCTATAATGTATATGAGACTATGTTGTTTGTGCCAATGGAGTAAAATAATTTATTTTGCCCTTATCTCTATGAAAATTTTTCTCGTTCCTATCAAATTCCCTCCTTAAAAGTAATCAACCATTTAAAAATACGAAAAAAAAAGGTGGAGTAAAATTAGATTACTTTTCTCTATCTCTTTTTTATCCCTGCCTTAGTTGCCCCCCACACTTTTTGGATATTAAAATTATAAGCTTTTAATGATGATTATAATTTTGCTAGCACCTTAAAAACAATCGACTCCTAGCATCCTTTAAAAAGTGATCAACCCTCAAACAAGACAAAAAAAAGGTACAATAAAATTAAATTAGCTTTATTAATTCTCTTTGCTTAATCTCTTCTTGGTTCCCCTTATTTATTACTATTTAAATTCATTTTTATTTAGACTCAATCAATTTATATTTACAAATCAATCCTTTATGCAAATATTTTCGAAAGCCTCCTATATCACGACCCTTCATATTTAAAAATATTGTTTCTTACAAATCAGATTTTTTTCATTTTTGTTTGTTGGAACTGTTCCTACTTCCTTTTCTTCTTACATCTAAAAAGGTTGAGATACTTCATACGTCTTCATTTTAAGCTGATCAACAACTGAGATAGTACTTCTTATGTTTTTAACAAGCTCTTGACCTCTTGCTAGGACCAATTAGTCAGAGAATCCTTTGAAGGTGGAACAATAGATCAACTAACTCTATACCTTTTTCCTCCCTTTAAGAGCATAAATTTTTATGGTTTTCTTAAGAAGATAGCCTCTCTGTCTCATAAATAAGGAATATCCAGTATTAGATATCATACATTTAATCATACAACTTCATAGGCTCCTCATCATTGAAATCTCAAAAAAATATTTAAACCTAACGGGTTGTTTGGTAGCCGATTTTAAGCATGATTTATAGAGGATTTATGCTAAATACTGCCAAACGGAAAAAAAAGACATTTGGTAAATCCTACATATTGTTAAATCCCATTTGTCCTAGGTTTGGCCTTAAATCTGAGATATAGCAAATCCCGTTGGAAGAGGGGTTTACAGGATTTAGAGAAGCCGAAGCCTAGAGAAAGATAAATCCTATTAAAAACTATTAAAGTTGTTAAACAGTTTCTCCGGATTTATTAAGATATACTTATTAATGTACCAAATAATTTTCAAAATTTAACACCTTCAAGATTTCAAAATTTCAGATTTACAGAATTTACTAAATCCTATTTAAACTAAATCCTACTTGCAACCAACAATCTAATAAGTATTAATCTTTTATAACAACTACAAGAATAAAGTTTTGGAATGCTAAGAAGTGCTAACCCTAATATCTCAACCAAAGCTTCAAACATTAGATTCTATTTACTACTTATGCCCAAATAGCATCAATAATGGTAGCTTTCACCTGAAACTTGAAGTGGAAATAATTCTACCCTAATTTCTTCATAAGCGTGTGTCTACAAACTCAAGCATAATGTAGAATATGCTTTAGTGATTCTTACTTCAATTACTACTACTAAATAGGAGTACGGGCCTTATTTTCCGTATTTTCTCTTTTTTGTCCCTTTTCTACACATAAATTCCAGCAATCTTTGAACTAGTACTATGAGTTTTTGTGGTGGCGAGATGGTGACCTAGTGTCTTTTTTCGTTACTGTTGAACTTTTGCTCTTTTTCTTTACAGTTGCAAGCTAAAACTTTTGTCTAATCAAAAGTTTCATATTTCTTCCTTGAATGGTTAAGGTTTTTGTATTGATTTTAAGGGTGTCAGCAACTGTTATAAGCTCAGTAATGTATGAAGGGTTTCATGAGGTTCTGCCACAAAATTCAAGATGAAGATTTATTATTCAATGAAATTTCTAGAAGGGTTGGCTGCCTTCTAAATTTTGTGATGTATTCTTGAACATTTTGCTTGTTATCCTACTTCAAAATTTATCAATGGGTCCACTTTTGTTATTCATTTCTAAAGGGATACAATTAAGCTTTCTAACTTCTTTTTTTAAATTTGACCATGTAAAGAATTGGTATATCATAGTTCTTAGATTTTAACTCACACCATAATAAAGTCTCTAAAGATTACTTCAAACAAACAAATGTGATTTTTTTCCCCTATAAGATCATAAAAAATCAAACAAAGTGTTTGCTATCCCAGCTCATAGTAAAGCAACTCCAACTTCGCCTTTATCTTAAAGGGAAGTATATCTTCTCTTCTTTTTGTATTTTCCTCAAAATTTCTCCTCATTAATAACCTCTCCTTTGTAATTGTCCTCTATTAGATATCTCTTCTTTTGTCTTTATAAATGGTGAAGCAAATGATGCCTGTACTACCTTAGCAGCAAAGTTTTTTATAATTATGACCATTTGGCCCTTCATTATGACTATCTAGTAAAGATGTTAAGGCGCACGGATCAAGGCCTTTGACTATTGGATCAATTTTTCTATGGCCCTCAAATTGCAATATGTTTGTTCTCTATAGGGCTATTGATCACTTGTTATTATTATTTTTTAATTTATTCATATTTTGCAATGCATCTTGAAGATATAAATATACCTCATTTCTTGTACAAAAAAAGAACAACGAAAATTCTTGAGAACTTTCTTAAAAAATGTTAATAAATTAAAATACAAAGGAGAAATAGGTGGAGTGAAATTAGTTTAGTTTCATTCATTCTTCACTAACATTCCTTTATTTTGGGTGCCAAAAATATATATTTGCAATTTAAATACACATTCAAATCATATTTGCAAATAAATCCTTTCAAGGTTGATCATGTAAATTATTTTGAAAGCCTCATTGAACAACTTTTAGGTTTCATAAAAATTAAATCAAATGTTATAAGGAAACTTTAGATGCACAACAATTTTAAAAAAGGGTGCTTTCTAAAATCAAAATTTTGTTGAAAATAATATTGATTTTCTTGAGACACAAATACTCCGGATTTATTTTAAAATTAAAACAAAACAATTAAACATGTGTTTTATTTTCAATCATCATGTCTGTTAGTAAGGTAGTCGACAACCAGTGTAAATTTTTTATCAAAAATATTATGACATGAACACTTTACATCATTGTGTAACACTCAATAGGACACAATGGAGAAAAAAGATTCATGTAGTTGGCCCCACAATGTGGGATGAAGGCTTGTTGTGTGCCTCTTAGTTGCTTTTGATGAATGGATGTTGTAAGGTGTCTATATTCATTAAAAAATAAAGAATTTACATACATGCAACAATTCTTATGCAATAACATGTCAAACACTTAAACTTTGATAATTACTTAAATAATACTTTAGTGCAACAATCACATCAAAATATATGCATAAATAAGTGTATTTCAATTTAAAAAAGTTAATATTAGTGTAATGTTCGATGTGATATTAAGCATTGCGCCGTTACATAAACAAAAAATCAAAGTTTATGTGTTAGATAAGTCAAAACATAAAAATTATGCAACATGTAAATCCCCCTACAAAAATTGGTTCGTAAATCATTGTTGTATAAATTGTTCTATATGTTAAATTTGGATTTCATTTTATTCGCAATAGATAATTTTAATTATTAATTTCGCTAACTCTTCACAGATAAATATAATTGATATTATTTGTTCATAACTAATCATGTCTATTTTTATTATTTAATCAATTCACATTAACCCATAATTGCTTTTCGGTCAAGCAAATTTCTCTATTGACGCAATTCATACAACAAGATTGGCAGCAGTTTTACAAAACAACTATCAACTTTACTTGCAGCACAGCACAACGTAGCATAGCTCGATAGAGTAGAACTAAACAGCATTTTCAAAAGACATCTTAATCTCATTCTACTATCTCCCATACTCCCCATCTATCCTAAACCCTAATAAGTCAATCCCTTCAAGAACAACCATATTTTAGGATGAAGCTCGCAAGATGGCATCAATCCAAGCCTACAATCTAAACGGCCTATCTACACAGTGCTCCTCACAATTAACCTATATACTTTACCAATAAGTTATATCCCCAATCTTGGATTTAGACTTGAGACTAGTTTCAAATGAGGCATATCTAAAATCAGGAATCAACGCATCCTTCTACTGCCGTAGTTGTGAATGTAGCCTTAACGACTCTAAAAGAACAATAAAGATTGGTATAGTTAGAGCTACGCTTATTTGGCATTAAACTGAGTTGTTTCGAACTTATTAAACCCTAAAACTGTTTGTGATGCAAGAAAGTATCGAAAATTCGTTGAACAAATAATTTACAAGATAAGACATCAAAGTGCCATATCAGATATAGCAGACATATATATGGGGCTCTTTGGTAGCAGAATTTGAGCACGATTTAACTTTAAATCATGAAAAACAGCAGAAAGTTAGAATTTCAAATCCTACAGAATCTTAAATCCAGTTTGATTCCCATTTTACCTTAAATTCCGGATGTAGAAAATCCAGACATTGAGCGCATTCGAAGTAAATCTGCACGTATTACGAGCTCCTCTTCTCCTTCCCACACAGCTGGACCCGCTGCTGCTTTCGCCGGCGAGCTACCATCACGAATTCCTCGCCTCCGTCGCCGTCGAGGGATTCTGAAATTTGGGGGACGAATTTGTCATCATGCTGCTGCAGGCTTATAAAATTTCATTTTGATTTTATTTTTGGGGAAATAATTCCATTTTGACTTTATTATTATTATTATTATTATTATTATTAT